GTATCCATACCAAGGGAATGACAACATTATAACAAGTCATTTCCATGCCAAATATAAACCAATCCAAAATCCAATGTATACACATCCATGCCAATGCATACATATTCTATGATAATAAAGAATCCATAATCAATGTATACAATCCATACCAAATGCATACATAATCCACATCCAAACCAAAGTCACACCACTGTATAATCCCATGAAGTAGCCAACACATCCAAACCAAATGTTGACCTCAACACATCCAAACCAAGTGTTGAATTCGTGAACATGTCACCTGCCCATGTCACACACCTAACCTCTCATGGAAAATATACAGTTGGGTTACATCGTCACATAACTCTGGTGATCGCAGCCACTTCATCCATCAGTATGACTCGGCCTTGCCCCCATACCGGTAGCAAATAGAATACTTAGAGGAGTACTTCAGAATTCACCTAACATATGAAGTGGTTTATTATATAATCTTTGGAAAAGTTCCATATTGGAATCCTCACCATGGGACTCCCAAATTCCATATTTTCCCAAAGATTATATCCTGATCTCACCAAGAGATCTCCCAATCCATACCATAACCTTACTCCTCTAAGTCCTATTAGCTTTCCAAACCAAACACACATAGCATATTTCATAATTACATACAAACTTTTCTATAACCATGCCAAAATACTTAATATAACAACATAAATAATTAAACACCAAAAACAACTATCAATTTAACCAAATCACTCTTTGTGAAATGGCAATCTTCACATAAAACAGAATATCAAGAGTTATACTACTCCTATCATTCTCATCTTTATCTCATATGAAAGATAAGAAGATTTCCTACAACTCTTATGAATACATAAAGTCCCAATTCCATCATCTACTTGGTTAAAAATTCTAAAAACCACAACAGCTATAACCAATGCTGGCAGCTTGACCCCTGTTCACTAAAATAGTCATATCTAGAGTTCTAGACCTTCTTTTTGGGTGATTCCAACGCCATTGGAAATCTAACATCCAAGGCTACAACTTTTATGAAGACTTAAAGACCAACATACTCACTCCCAGTGCACTAATATCCCGCCCGGCGCAAAACTCAAACAGAGACCTACAGAGGTCTCAGCACCCGGCGCAATTATCCTAGGCCCGGTGCAATTCTAGACGGAGACTCCCAATGAGTCTTTGCGCCAGTCGTGCTTAGATCACGCCTGACGCAATATCAGTAACCAAAACACAAGGACCACGTCTGATAGTGCGCCCGACATGGTTCTCCCCACGCCTGGCATGATTCACCCAGGGATTCCCATTTCAAATTGTGCCTAGCGTGACTAGCCTCGCGACCAGCGTGAAAAGACAATGGTAGCATCTGATGAATGCACGCCCGACACAAAGAACTACGCCCGACGCAATGTTTAACCACAAACCCTCGAAAACCTTGAAAATTCTTTCCCAACACGAACCCAATCCAAATTCCATGAGTTCAAACCATTATAAAGCATAAACTTTATCCAAAAACAACATATTAAGCGATAAAATCAAGTTTTAACCATTAATCCATGGAAATCATGAAGAAACCCAACTAAACCCTTTCCACTCAATCCAACCTTAATCATGCATAAAACATGGAATCAATGTGATATTTTAAACTCGTACATACTAGATTAAATCTCATAAGTACTATCCTTACCTTAAAAATCTCACGGATTTTGAATCTCTCACAATTTGTGACGGATTTTGAATTCAGTTTGTGACAAATGCTTTCCCTCACAAATTGCGATGAAAAATTTATTAGTTAGTGACGACATACTTTCGTCACTAATTGTGACGGATTGAATTTTTCCGTCACTAAATATTTTGTGACGCCATTTTTTGTGACGACCCAAAATCCGTCACAAATTCCGTCACTAATAATTTTGTGACGGATTTTCTTTAATTTTGTGACGGATTCTTTCCGTCTCTAATTTCCATTTTTCTAGTAGTATAAGGAATGCCCAGACACTAGACTAATCCTTAATTAATGGTTTTGAAAAATGAGTTCATGGAGTCGCTACCAATGTTTTTCTCAAAACATTAGCAAAAGAAAAGATTTTTTGATAGTCCAATAATGGCCTTGATAACCAGAATTGAGTTCGGGGGTCGGTTACGTGTAGGGAAGGTATTAAGCACCCCTACAACGCCCTAAATCGGTACCCTATTATGAAGATAACATAATAAGAATTAATAGTTTAAATATTTAATCCCCTTTATTAATGATTGTTTACATGAAAATTAAATTACACGGTGAACTCCTAAGATATCTACATAATTACGTTTATTATAGTAATAAATAAAATAAAAGAAGAGAAATATAGAACAAGAGATTGATGAGTAATACCTCATAACAAGCTTTATTAGATCTTCAACTATGGAAGTTTTAGGTGCTTTGTGGCAACCTTTCACACTACAATGCCTCACAAAATCTCAAGAAATACAAAAGAGAGGGGGAGAGAGAAAAATAGAAAAATTTCGTGTTTTAAGGAGTCTAGATGAAATTTTGGAGTCCTGAGAACTGTGCCCAAGCTATCTATTTATAGGCATTAGAAGGGTACTAGAACGGCCCGTTCCAAATTCAGAACGGCCCGTTCTGGATATGAACGTTATGTGTAAATTCTTACCCTGGAACGGCCCGTTCTGAAATCAGAACGGCCCGTTCTGGAGTTGAAATTAACACAAAACATGCATTAATAGAACGGTCAGTTCTAAACTAAGTTTTTATGCTTTTTTAGAAGTTTGGAACGGCCCGTTCCAATTATAGGTTTTTAGCCTTTTTAAAGAGATTGGAACGGCCCGTTCTAATTTTGGAACGCCCCGTTCCGATTTTGGAACGGCTCGTTCCAATTTAGAGTTTTAGGCCCTTTCTGTAAATTGGAACGGCCTGTTCCAGTTTTGGAACAGTCCGTTCCGGGCTACTAAAACTAGCTTATTTGGACTTTTAGCCTTCTGATGTCATGTGGTGTTATTTCCATGCTTGGGAGTTCCATTTCTTTGATGATAGACGTCCATTTCTTTGTTTGTATGCCGCCCGGACGAAATTGGGTGTCTACATAATTCTCTTATCTTTCAAATAAAGTTAAGATTAACTTGATAGCATAGATATAACTCTAGATAATGTATTTGGACCACACGAGATTTTAATTGGCATTATAGTTGTTAAGTTTATTAAATGATAATAAATTTGTTTTACAATTCTTAGAAAACATTTTGAATTTTAAAAGGCCAAAAAGTTGTAGAAAAAAGTGGGTTTCGACTATGTAGTTTTGAGCAGATTTTTTTTTTGCAAACTATTATACCTTTTATTATAATATAGATACATATATAAATAAGATAATGAGAAGAAAAGAGAAAATGTGTCTCTATCTTTTTGAATATGAATGTAGTGTACGATGAGAATTAAATAATAAAGGGTGAAAAAATTTATCCTTATTAATAACACAATTTATATAAAGTAGATACGAAGTTGATATCATTAATTACATCTTTAAATTTATTAAATATTAATAAATTTGTTAATAAATTTTCAAGGAACTTAACATTAGACGGCTCACACAACTCATTGACAGTGACAAAACCACTAACAATTAAGCTTATTATTGTAGAATTTTATCTATAAATAAGACTTGTGAAACACATGGTATAGCAATCAAAAATAAAAGGAAACAACAATGGGTTCTAATTATGGAGAGAAAGACAATGCATGGGTCTGTGCAATGAATAATTTGCTTGGATCAGTATATTCTGGGGTATTGAAAGCTGCCGTTGAACTCAACTTGTTTGATATCATAGCAAAGGCATCAGTAGTTGGTGTCTCAGCATCTGATATTGCTACACAGCTTCCAACACAACACCCAGAATTGGCTGGCAGGCTTGACCGCATGTTATGTTTATTAGCGAGTAACTCTCTTCTTATTTGTTCCACTCGCACAAATAAACATGGTAACATTGAAAGGTTTTACAAGCTATCCCCTGCTGGTAAATACTTCGTCAAAGATGAAATTAAAACTTTGAAAACTTGAGGGATTCAAGATTGTCCTTTGACTTAACAAAATGCTAATATTTTTTTGTTTGTACAATTAATAGGAAATATATTCATTTTTAAAGGCTAGGAAGTTCTAGAAAAAAAAAATTGGTCTAACACTACGTAGTTTTGAGCTGGAAAAACTTTTAGCAAACTATTCTACCTTTAATAATATATAGAATATGGATATAGATATAGATTAGAATTGTTCAACACACAATTCACAAATAATAAAAATAAAATTTACCTACCTATCATTTTGCATTCAATTTCAAAGCTTCTATCACATTGAATTAGAAATCTTCACGATGAATGCAGTGTGTAACACTCCTAGTTTTCTAAAATGTATTAAAAGAGTGTTTTAATTAACTAAAAAAATTTATAAAATCTTTTAAAGGCCTTTAATGATTATGAGTGTTTTAATTAAATAGTAAATATTTACAAAATAAATTTATATAATATTTTATTGAAAAAATATGTATTTTTATGATATTTTCAAGCTATATATATATATATATATATATTTTGTTGGGGAAGTATGAGTTAAGTTACAAGGATTTATGTATTATGTATTATTTTATTTTATATTTATTTTCATTAAAAAAGAAGGGAGCTACATTTTCAAAATAAAGGTTTTAAGAGGGTGGAGTCAGTTTATGCTAACACTTCTGATTACTTTTTTTTACGCTTCATGTTTTGAAGAATTGAGAGAACTAGAGACCATTGGAATTCACTTGGATATTTGTGATCTATTCATCGAGGTAAAAGGGAGTTAGTAATCTCACTCCAAACATGAGATAGTTGTTAGGCACTGAGATTGACCTCAAATCTTGTCTCTATTGTATGCGTGTCTAAGAGAGAAATCTCAATTGTGATTTGTGATGATTTAATGATAAGAATTTAAAAAAATAGGAGGAAAAAATTTTATTCCTATTAATAGCGCAATTGGCTTAAAGTCAATATAAAGTTGATGTCGTTAATTACATCTCTAAATTTAATAAATGTTAATAAATTTGTTAATAAGTATGCAAGGAACTTAGTATTAGATATCCTACACAACTCATCAACATTGTTTTTTTTAATAGTAATGACAAAATTAAATTTTGAGTGCATCATAGAAATTATAGATAATTGTCTTATCTTTCTAATAAAATTAATATCAACTTGATAGCATATAAATAACTTTAAATACTGTATTTAGACCACACGAGGTTTTAATTGACATTATAGTTGTTAAGTTTATTAAATGCTAATAAATTTGTTTTACAATTCATAGAAAACATTTGAATTTTAAAAGGCCAAAAAGTTGTAGAAAAGAATGGGTTTCAACTAAGTAGTTTTGAGCAGATTTTTTGTTTTGCAAACTATTATACCTTTTATAATAATATAGATACATATATACAGAAGATAATGAGAAGAAAATAGAAAATGTGCCTCCATAATTTTTGAATATGAATGTAGTGTAAGATGAGAACTAAATCTATATAAAGTAGATATGAAGTTGATGTCATTAATTACATCTTTAAATTTATTAAATGTTAATAAATTTGTTAATAAATTTGCCCGAACTTAATATTAGACGTCTCACACAACTCATCGACAGTGACAAGTAACCACCAACAATTAAGCTTATTAGAGCATCTACAATGAGTTTACTTATAAGCAACCTTCTGTGTCATATCACTGTCACATCAGCTCTGGTCCACTTTATGGGTTGCTTAAATTTTAGCAGAGTTGCTTCTACAAGCTGTTTGAAAATCTTAAATTTCTAGAGATTCCGAGATATCCGAGATATCCACCCCGATTTGATGTATCGGGTTCTCATTTGATTACCAGTGATTATTTGATTAACACGCATAGATTAGGTTTCCCTTTTTATTCTTATTTATTATTTACAAGGAAGACATGTTATCTATATTAAGTGCAAAATAGGATGCAAAGGCAATTGCAAAATTCAACAAATATCATCCTCATTGATTTGTTTGTTTAGAGAACATTCTTTGTACAAGATTTTTCAGTGCACTTTGACAATGTTATAGCAGCCTAGAGAAACTCATGCTTGGTTGATATCTCTATAGACATGCCTCCTCATTTGTTGACTTGCAATTTTTAGTATTCATCTCTTCTTGGATTCTTCTTCACTCTTACTATCCGCATCAAAATTAATGTCAATGAGATAGGGTTTTCGGGTTCACCACTGTTTCGGTGATTGCCAAAATTCTTATCTTTATCGACAAGGTTGACGGGTCGGAGAAGAAAGATGCGGTTAGGAGTGGTATGATAATGAATCAGGGGAATAAATGGTGCTTAACGTTTTTCAACTCCTCGAGCTCTGATTTCCTTAGGAAGTTTCTTTTTCAACTCCCCTAATTGTGTTCACACGAAGCATTTTTTTATTATTTCTTTTTTTAAAAAAAATTCTTCAATTCTTCTCCCTTTTTTTTTGAAATTTTTCTTTGGATGATTCCAACTTCATTTTGAGCATGGCATCCATCCAGGTTGGAAGAACCCTAAGAAGATGTAGACTTTGACTTTTAAGAGTGCATTTGATGGTAGTCCCAAAGTCTAGTCGAACTTCCCTAGTATTAGGGGACATGGACTAATGACTCTTGTAGTTTAGAATGTTCTCCTTTCCCAAAGATCTTTGCATACTATTATATGTGCCTTCCATTTCTAATGGGTGTATGATAATGTATTATCCTAGGAGATGCATGATATTATCCTAGGACATGGACTTTGACTTTTCAGAGTGCATTTGATGGTAGTCCCAAAGTCTAGTCGAACTTCCCTAGTATTAGGGGACATGGACTAATGACTCTTGTAGTTTAGAATGTTCTCCTTTCCCAAAGATCTTTGCATACTATTATATGTGCC